AGTGGTTTGATCATCAGTCAAATAATACCCACAAAGATTTGGGACTTTCTTAGTCTGTTTGCCGTTGCTATAACAAAACTGTTGAGGCTGGCTAATGTACAAAGAATGCAAGTTTATTCAGCTTACAGATTTGGAGGCTGAGAAATCCAAGACCACGGCACTGGCATCTGGCGAGGTCTTCTTTCGCGTGAGAACCTGACAGAGGGCATGGCGTGGGGGACTGAGCAAGCGAGCTAGTTTGGGTCTCTTCTTATAAAGCTACTGATCCTATCACGAGGGCCCCACCCTACAAGCTCATCTGACCCCAGGGACTTCTCTAGTGTCCCCCTGCCAAATACCATCGCCACATGAATTTGAGGATTAACTTGAACTTTGGGGGACACACTGAAACCACAGCCACGGTGGTGGCAGGAGTCTCGCTTGTGATTATTTTGTGTTGATCTGAACAACAGAGTGAAGTCCTGGGTTCAGGTCATGATAGTCTAAGCAGACTTCTCACTGCACAGACATGATAGTGGATTACACTGGTGATGTACACGTGGGAATTACGGTCCTGGGCCAAGAGATTATGAACTGGTCCTTTAACTTCTAACCTATTTGTCCTCTACTGGACATTGCTGACCCAGCTCTCTGGCACCATAGCTGTGCTTCCTGTCTGCACCCCCCAGTTCTGTGGCCATGAGCCACGCATGACCACTGAGCACCTGGAGTGTAGCTAGTATGGCTGAGGGACCACAGTTTTAGTTTTATTTAAATCTGAATTAGTTTCATTACCCACATGTGACTAGTGGCTGCCATAAGGAGAGTGCAGATCAGACTTTTCAACTGGGATCTACAACTGGTGATATTCACGTTTATTTGAAGTTTTGGACAAAAAAGAAATGAGTATTGGAGAAGGAAAAGGAACAAGGAGGACCCTGTGGGCACAGGATGGGAGGCTGCTTTGTTGAGTGCCCGTGACAATGAGAGTCAGAGTGAGAGGAGACCTGTATTAATGCTGACTTTCATCCTGTGAGCTGCAGGGATTTGCACTTGAAAGAGAGGTGCAGGACTCAATGAGGGACCCTTGACCCAGGGTTAAACAGAGACAAGCGGGGCTGTGTAGACCCAGAGGCTCCTCAGCAAAGGGGCTGGGAAGTTGCAGACCAGCTAGGCACCGACAGACCGGGATCCTGCATCCACTCTTCCCAGGGCCTGCCATGGTCCCGCTGGCTGGCCTGGCAGCCTCTGAGCCCCATTCCACAGGTGAGCACTGGAGTGTGGCTGCCATTGCCAGGTCTGGGCTGCCCCATGGGACATGAAGCCAAGATCAGGGAGGAATCTAGAACAGGGAGACGCCATGACATCAGTGTGTCCCCAGAGATGTTCGGCAGGGTTGAGGGAAGAGGGTTTGTTTCAGTGGCCGGGAGGACAGGGCTCCTGACCCTCGGGGTCCTGCTGAGAACACAGCCTGTGGACAGGACCTGTGCCCCACACGACTTCCGTGTGTCCCAGTGGACATCCGTGCTGTGAAAGGTTTGTTCTCACTGTGAAAGGCTAACTCTGCTTTAGGCAGAAACACAATTTTTTTCTGCATGGTTTTAATATACAAAGAATTTGTCAAGAATGCAAGACTGTGTGAATTGAAGGAAGGTTGTACTTTGCTTTGTTTGTATTTCCCAAGAGTTGCTCATTTCAGAACCGGATCACAGAGTGACAACACTTGTGGCCCTTACCCGGCTAAGGAGGAATGCCTGTGTCCACTAGTAGTGCTTACCCTTCTGTCCCCATGAGTCTGCACGTGCAGCTGTCTGTTTATCCATCCACCCATTCATCCATCTACCTACCTATCTACCTGCCTATTTGAATATATTTTCTTAGTCCTTATTTCAAAATGTTAAATTCAGGAAAAGAGCATCAACAGTGTTCAAGTGAATATTACCTTACCCCTGTTGAATTCAAACATAGCAATTATAAGTAGGTTAAGTATTGAAAACTTCATTTTGCCTGAGTACTCATATTGAAATGTATATTATAAAAATTACTTTTCTTTTTCATTTAAATAACTGTTAGGACACCATCACGTTAATTCTTTCAAAGTAGATGTGAAAGCAGGGGATATTATTATCTAGCTCATTTTAGGATAGTAGAGGGATGTTCCAAAATATCCATCTGTATTAGCCAGTCCTCTGGCACTGTTAGAAAATACCTGAGACAAGGCCGGGGATTTAGCTCAGTGGTTTCGCCGCCTGCTGCGCAAGCTCAAGGACCCGAGTTTGATCCCCGGTCCCCCCCCAAAAAAAGAAAGAAAAGAAAATACCTGAGATAGTTAACTTATGAAGAGAAAAGGTTGGGGCAGAAGGTGTATTTCATGGCAGAGCATGCGTTTAGCAGGCAGAGGCCCTGAATTCAATCCCCACCATCAGGGTTAGGGAGGGAGGGGAAGGGAGACACAGAGAAAGAGAGACAGAGATAGAGAAAAGAGGTTTATTTTTGGCTCACAGTTTGGAGGTCCCAGTCGATGGCAAGTTGGACCTGTTGTTCTGGGCCTGTGGTGCAGTAGCATGTGGCAGGAGCATGTATGTGGTAGAGCAAAACTGTTTGCCTCCTGTTTGCCCAGAAAAGAGAAGGGCAGAAGCTGGGGCCCACCAGTCCCCTTCAAGGCCACGCCCACAAAGACCTTGCTTCCTCCCAATAGGCCCCACCTTTTAAAGGCCCCATTACCTCCCGAAAGAACAACACTGGGGACTAAGCCTCATGGGCCTATGGGGAACCCTTGAGATCCAAAGTATAGCGCTGTCTAAAAGGGTACCTGCCTGTTAGTGTTGAGGTCCTCTGCTATGAGGGACAGAGAGAGGCCAAGAGGCAAGGAGAGCTCAGCTCTAACAGTGCCCAGAACATCTGTGTACTGGTGTTTAAGCATTCACCAAACTTCACATGTTCTCCTAAGATCTGAGTCCATTTTTGCCCACAGCTGCATAATATATTATTTAATTACTATTTTCCCTTAAATTAGCTCATTCTTTTTACTTCTTTCTTTTCCTGTTGTGCTGGGATCAAACCAGGGCCTCCCATGTGCTAGGCAAGTGCTCTATTACTGAGCTACACCCACAGCCCAATTTAAAATAATTTTAAAAAGAAGTTACATCACTGGCATGAATGTAAAACTAAATTTGATTGACGTGATCATTAATTTCCTTAGTAGAAATAAAAATCAGTGCCTGTTTAAAACATACACGTGTATCCACACACACATGCACACACACACGCATGTACACTGTGTCCATCCAGTTGCTACTTAAAATCATCTCACATCCTAATGGGGGCAGGAGCTGCATAGGCTTGAAGCTTGGAGTTAGTTTATTTCAGCTTCACAGTGCTCCCAGGCCCAGCACAGCACAGGGTGAAGTGGCTCAGCTGTTTACTGATGAATGAGTGGGTAAAGTGACACAGCAAAGCCACAGCCCTGCAGGGCAGAACCCAGGTGTGGTGGCCCCTGAGACCTGTCTCTTTGCATCACAGTACTGAGGGAGGGGACTGTCAGATGGAACCAGGAGCTGCTAGGACCCCGGGAAGGAAAGAAGAGCAACATCTGGGCCTTGTCAGATTGAGTAAGCAGCTGGGCTGGCAGCCAGATGTGGCCATGGCCTCCAGCAGGAGGGAGATATCAGAGGCTCACCCTGGGGATCTGGGAGGCCTGCAGATGTGGCCAGCTGGAGGGAACACCCAAAGGCACAGGAGGACTCTGGGATCTGAGGAAGTGAGGGTGGGAGGAAAGAGTGGACAGCCACCAGCACCTTCCTTTCCCAGAAGCAGAAGAGCCTCGGGAGGCGCTCAGCAGCGCTGGTTGGTTGGAAGGCATCTCTCCTGCTCCCAGAAGCCCCTGCTTCCTCCCATGGCTCCCAAAGGGAAGTGGCCCAGGGGCCACAGTGGGCACAGGCCAGGGGAGGAGAGTGTTGGAGGCTGAGCTGGGCTGGGAGGCTGGGCTGTTGCTGGTCACGCCGAGGGTCCTGTGAAGTGCCAGAAGGAGTGAATGCCTATCACTGGACAAGAGCAGCACCCCAAGATCTACTTGGCATTGTTTCTCTGCAGCCATATTTTACTTCTTAGAAAATTCCAAAGGATGCCCTCATCCGTCCACTCTCTACATGGCTCTGCCCTCAGTGGCTTCCTCTTCCCAGCTTCCTCACATGTGACATGGAGTCACCTAGTGAGGGCAGCAGCTGGGCTGGATGGTTCAAAGCTGGCTTTCCAAGCTTCCCTTCTGCCTGGTGCTGCCAGCCTGAGAGCTGATCTCAGCTCCTCCATTTCTAGCGTGTGGCCCCAGGGGCTTCCTGCAGCTCTCTGCACATCACTGCCCCCCTTTTGTGCAGTGGGGACAATGGGGTTAGCCCCCTTCCGGGTCACTGGGAGGGAAATGTCTCCAGCACTGACCACAGTGCCTGGCAGCTAGGTAGACATGAAAGCTGGTGTCATCATCATGGTGCTGTTCATGCAGGAAGGAGCACCTGGAGCAGGGCGCTCGATGCCAGGGCTGGGTGAGGCGTGGAAGGCTGCTAGCCTCCACTCTTGAGTCTTGGGGCCCATGGCCTTATGCCCCTATGCTTCTCATCTCTGGGCTGTGGTCCACAGCCTTTGGAGTAGAAAAGCCCTGTGGCCTCCCCAGTTAGACCTCAGCTAATGTGACTGAAGTGGTAGTCTCTCGGCCTGACATTGTAACAAGAATCCCCAGCCAGAGGATTCTCACACTGACTGCTGCTCCTAAGCCACATCCTCATGCTTTGAACACAGAACTTTTGAAGTCAGAGTTACAGGCTTATAAATCACAAACTCAGGCCGGGGATTTAGCTCAGTGGTTCTGCCACCTGCCTTGCAAGCACAAGGACCCAAGTTCAATCCCTGGTAACAAACAAACAAAAACATCACAAACTCTAGTGATACCCCTGGCTTTACGCAAAGCTTGACCCAGCAATTCATGTGATTCCTCCTTCTCAGCACCTAATCTCTTCTCTTGCCCACAGGGCAGAGGGGGTCCACGTCCCAAGCCCTCCACGAGCTAGCCTGGAGCCAGGAGACAAGATTGACGAGCCTGAGGACACTGGGCCCCGAGACCCAGATGCTACTCCAGAGGGAGCCTGGCAGTCAGATGGCAGCTGGGGGAGCAGAGCCCTGGATGAAGGTTTGTCTCTGCCGCCCACCTCGCCACCTGGTGCATGGCATGTGTGACTGCCCCAGCCCTGCTCGGTGGGCTGTCTGCCTCCATGCTGCCTTGGTGGTGCAGCTGCCCCCAGACGGAACCCCGACCCCGCAGCTGCTCAGGCAGGGATGCTCACCCACAGGGGAACTCTCCTGGGGCCACTGTCATAAGAGCCTGGCCCCAAAGCACCTGGAGGATGTGAGGTCTGGTCCTGGATGCTTCTTAAGTCAAACAGAAGATTCCCGAGCACCTCCAAAGGGAAAAGCCAGGCGAGAGTGGTGGGTGTCCAGGGTCAGGCCTCTGTGAGCCTGAGGTCCCCAAACCTTCCCGGGGCCAGGAGCACCCAAGAACCTTTACACAGATGCCAGGCCACCCCGATCTCCCACACAGAGGGCAGGGAGCACCTCCATCTAGGTTTGTTTTTAAGTCACTGTACCAGGTCAGACATTGCTTGTCTGCAAATATCAGATCATTGAACCCAAACCAGCAGAAGTTCAAAGAACTTAGCCGTTCACGTAAGGAAAGAGTCCTTGTAGGGCCCAGGGCCAGGTAAAACATCTGTGGAACCCCATGTCGCACAGGACCTGGCATGTGTTCCTCCACGAAGAGTCACAGTCAGCAGGTATGCCTCCTGCTGGCTCTCACTACCCCCACCGGGTCCTCAGCCCTCCCTGCATCTGTTGCATGCCCAGGTGGCCTGCCTGTGACTGGCCAAGCCTGACCATGTGCCTCTGCAGCTGGGGTGGAAGAGAAGGGGCAGCATCCCTGAGGAGACTTGAGGCCGCCCCTAGGGAAGGAACTGGACAGGAGCACACAGGGCCCCAGGGTCCTAATGCCCAAAGCTCAGTGATAAAACACAGCAACATTAGGGACTACAAATGGTCACATGTGGGATGCCCCCTTCCTCTGCATCCCCCAAATGTAAGAGCTGAAAACTCTGTCCAGACTGGTACCCCACACCCGGCAGAGCACACCAAAGCTCTTAAGGGACAGCCTCGGCCTTCCCTGACCAAGGTCACCATGTCCTAGGATGGAATGCTCACCTTTCAGCCATAGACCTGGCTTGTGTCATCTTAGAAAACAAGAAAATGAGGGTGTCCTTTGCAGAGTCACTATGTCAAATCCCGGGGAAGGGCTCTAACTGGCCAGTTCCATGCCTGAGCTGGTCACATGGAGGGGACATTACCAGCCATTGGTGGCCTCACCTCACAGGAGCCACTGTCTGCTCAAGGGGGAGAGGGTGCCAGAGCCCTCTCCTCTGACCACTTGCAGGGTTTCCTCCGCATGGTCTGGCTGTCCACCCCCTTCCCTGTGTCACTTGTCCCTACATCTTGTTTCTCCTGCAGAGGACGAGCAGCTATTCCGCTCTGTGGAGGGCCAGGCTGCCTCTGACAAAGAGGAGGAAGAGGAGGAGAAGTGGCGGGAGGTGGAGAGGCCGGCAGCCCAGGCTGAGGCACGGCCCTTGGGCTGCGGGAGCAGGTACCTGCGGAGCCTCAGCCAGGACCTGCTGCTGTGGGCCCTGGGCTGTCACAGGTTGTCCAGAGACCCCAGAGCTCCAGGAGGGTGGGGCCCGAGGATGGGTCCCATCTGCAGGTACCTTCATTAACTGACAGCTGAACAAAGGGGTGAGGGCCCTGGTTCATGTCTAGACTCCATCTCCTGCCAGCCCTGCTGTCAGAGGGAAGAGAAGAAACCATGGCGTGAGCAGGAAATGAGATGGTCTGCAAGGACTGTCACCCTGTGGCCACTGTCCCAAGACATGCCCCAAAGCTCTCCTGTCACTCTCAGGTCCTTTACTAATGCATTGCTCCTGGGACACTGGGCAGCCCCTGCCAGCCTAGCCTTGCTGTTGCTTTCCTATGCACCCTCAGGTTTAATCTTTGTGGCCAATCTGGAGGGGAACAGGGACAGGCCCAGGCCCCCTGGACTCCTCTGAAAGGTTACCTGACTTCTCATCTTGAAGATGGGACAGTCACACAGGCTCTGTGGGGACCCGAGATCAGGATGTAAAATACCTTTCAGGTGCCCGAAGCACACTCGAAGGCACACAATGCACTTATCACTACGCTGTGAAGGACTGTCCATTTTCTGGACTTGTTATCACCAATTCTCTATGTCAACAGGAAACACTTATTAGGCACCTATTATGTGACAGGCATGATTTGAGACAGAAAATAATAATGAAGACAGTAGTCCTGTCCTGGATCCTCTATGTAGTGAGTGGGAAGAAGAGAGAGAGCAGGGTACAGGGGAGGGATGGGGATCCTGAGAAGGCCTCTCTGAGAAGGTGCTATTTGAGCAGAGAGCTGAAGGAAATGAGGACATGAACAATGCAGATGTCGGGGCAAGAGCATTCCAGGAAGTGGGACTGGCAAGTGCAAAGGGCCTGGGGCTCATTGGGAGGACAGCAGGAGGGGGGCAAGAGCATTCCAGGAAGTGGGACTGACAAGTGCAAAGGGCCTGGGGCTCATTGGGAGGACAACAGGAGGCCGCCACTGTGGCCGGAGCAGGGCTAGTGGAGGTGGGTGGGAGGTGATCAGAGAGGTCATGAGGCCTTTGGTGTTTCCTCTGAGTGGCACAGGGCCCCAGGAGGGTGCTGAGTGATGGTGTTGCAGCCTGACTTTAGGGGGAAGCAGCTGGAAGGCAGTGCCCAGCGCTCTCCCTTTCTCAGGTGTGACGACCAGACGGCAAGAAAGCTGCTGATGTACTTGGGCCGCTGTGGTGATGCTGAGCACACCTGCACCCCCGGAGAGCTGGAAGCCCACGTCGCCAGGCTGCTGGAGCATCTGGACATCCAGGGCTGCGATGGGAAGAGCCTGGGACCATGCGCGGAGGAGGTCAGCAGGGCCCCCGAGACCAGGACTTCACCACTGCCAATCTCTCGCAACTGGAAGGCCCTGACCCCATTCATGAGGGACCCGGATTCACCGAGATGTGATTTCCTTTGATTTAGATTTAATGAGAAATCTTTTGGTCACAAGTTAAAGGATCCCATCTCAGATTAGCCTGAGTGCCAAGCAGGAATTTATGAGACCGCGGAGCTGAGACAGGCAGAGCTGGATGCAGGACTCACACTGCGCGGTGTCCACCTGTCCACTTTGCTTTGTCCTGGCTTCTGGCCTCACTGTCCCTGGTTAGAAGGGTTGGGGGATGGGAACGAAGCCTCCAGCAGCCCAGATAAAAAGGAGTCTCACAGAACGCAGGAAATCGCAAACAGAGCTCCAATTGGCCCAGCCTCCATCACGTGCCCATCCCTGGCCAATCCCTGAGGTGGGAGGGCGGGTCCGTGACGGGCTTGGCCTCCAGGTTGGGGCAGTTTGCCCAAGGGAAGGCAGTGTCCCCCCAGCGCCAGCGGGAAGGCAGGCCGGACCTGCAGTCACACGGAGCAGTCCCCACTTCAGGGACACCTTCAGCGACTCACTCTGGCCTCTGCAGCCTCTGCTCACTTTTCTGCCTCACGGGAACTCAGTGTGCCAGGCTGTGACAGTTGTCCTCGCGCTAAGCTTTGGTCCACTGCACTTTTGCAAACTGTGGCTTTGATATGATAGATTTATATTTACATACCTGAAATTCTAAATCTCTGCTTTTTTTTTTTTTTTTCTGTCTTAGGGATTAAACCCAGGGTCTAACACATGCTAGACAAGTGTTCTACCCCTGAGCTACATCCCCAGCCCTTTTGACTTTACTTTGAGACAGTCTTGCTAAATTACCCATGCTGGCCTTGAATGTGTGATCCTCTTGCCTCAGCCTTCTGAGTAGCTGGGATTATAAGCAGTTGGCATCACGGTGGGCTGTGCTATTTTTTAACATATGTGTAACGTGATGCAGTTTTAGCTTCTTAAACTTTATGCCCAAGCTCAGAGGTGGGGCCCTTGGCTACCTATGCAAGGCCCTGGGCTCCATCCCCAGCACTGAAAAAAAAAAATCATTTTATGTTCCAAGAGCCGGATGAGGAAAGGAAGGGTGTGAAGAGGTGATGGCTGGGAGATCTCGGCTTCAGCCTCACCAGTGCACCTGTGAAACCAGGTAGCCACGCCCTCCATCAAGGAACTGGACAAAGATGCTGCTGACACTGAGCTGAGATCTGAGCATGGGAACAAAATGACAGGAAGAAAGGGACACCTGGGGGGTGCTCGTACACCTTCCAGGGGATGGAGTCTGCCACACTCCGAGCTGGGAACGCCTCTCTATAATAAGCTCTGAAAATCTCAAAGTTGCCAAAGGGCAAAGTTATACCAATATAAAGATTTTCACTGGTTTTGTTTGGGAGTCTAGAACCAAGCACCACTTAATTCTATTTTCAGAACAGGCATCCCAAGGAGCTGAGCAGGGGAGGCTGGGTTCGGACAGGAAGGGGAAGCAGGGGTGGAGGGTGGAGAGCAGATGGTCATGGTCACTACAGTTACTTTTCTCCTAAGGTCAGTGCAGGGGGATGGACTAATAGAACTGGAGCTCATTGGTTAATGTCAGATTACTTCAGGTTAGTTTTTCTGTGTGTAAGGGTTAAGCCAGAGGGAATACACTGGTACCTCGGTTCACAAACAATTCTCTCCACGATTCTGGTCGCAAACCAAACTGGACAAGAACCAAATCAGATTTCCCCAGAAGGTCAGCATTGAACCTACACATTGAATTTGATTCAGTTCTTGACCGACTCAGTTTTCAACCAGAATCATGGAAAAAATTGTTTGTGAACCAAGGTACAACTGTACATTATTGTGCCAATGAGACTGGACTGTTTGGGAAATCTGACTAATACCTCTTCTCCTGATTACTCAGGAGGTCACATAGCAACTTAGTTTGGGTTTGGTGCCATGGAACTTTAGCACAAATGACTCCATTTTTATTTTTAGCCTGCTCTGTTGAGGCCCAGTATAGGAGCTTAGTCCAAAACAGTGGCTTCCTGGGATTTTTTTGTAACAAACAGAACCTGATTGGGAAGAAAGGCTGCTCTCCAGAGCAGGAAGCTAATGCTGACAGGCACAGCATGGCGGGTATGTGCTGGAGCCAGACTACTGGCTTCAAGTCCTGCTCTATTACCTATGTGAGCTTGGGAAAGTTTTCTCTGCCTCTGTTTCCTCATCTGTAAAATGGGCAGAATAATGTGCTGTGCTACCTGCGTCACAAGGGTGAATGCTGGTGGTGAGCTCTCAAAACCTGTGAGCTGTGGTTTTTCACTGAATGGATATAGACCCTTCTAGTATTCTGTGCTACATACATCTGGAATATTCAAGGTCATTTTCAGATTGTTGTGGGTTTTTTTGGTACCAGGAATCAAACTCAGGACCTTGCGCTTGTGAGGCAGGCGCGGTGACACTGAGCTAAACCCCCTGCCTGTCCCTGCTCCTGGCTCTGTCTTCCTTGAGACCTTGATCTTGCCCAGCCAGGCACTGCCTAGGAAAACCACAGACCTCGTGGCTGGTGACCGCCCGCCTGTTAAGAAACTGGCAGTCACAGAGTCCCAGAGGGCACAGCCACCGCTCCTTTCCTGAGAAAATTTCAAGGACACAGGGGCCAGGGTGAAGGAGTCCACCTTCTAGTCCCCCAGCACTGGTGGAGGCTCTGGGACTTCTCTCTTTCTGGCTAGAACCCAGAGTGGTAGCAGGAGGTGGCCACTGGACACTCTGTGACTACATGGTACCAATCCCCTGGTATCTTGGCTGTCTTCGTGGCCATGGGCAGTCACCAGGCGGGCCTCTCTCGAGGCTGTCTATCTGGAAGAAGTGGAGGACTGGGTTGGAGAGCATCTTGTTTCGTTTTGGTTTTTGTGGCACCAAGGATCGAACCCACAGCCTTTGTACTGAGCTACATGCCCCAGATCTTGTTTTTATTTTTTGTTTTGACAAAAGATCTTGTTAAGTTACTAAGTTACTCAGGCTGGCTTTGAATTTGCTGTCCTCCTGCCTCGGCCTCCCAGAATGCTGGGATTCCAGGCCTGCCCCACCATGCCCCGCTTTGGATAGTGTCCAGTTTAGCAGTGGCTTCTGGATGAGAGGCTTGGGATGCTCCTGCTGTCTCCACCCCGTAGTTGTCTCCTTTCTGAGGTTCTTTGAGTGCCAGTCCAGCTTGGGAACTGCCCACTAGCTGCCAGTACATCCCCTGTTTAAGCCAGCCAGATAGGTTTCTGTTGCTTGACACCAGCACACGTGTATTAAACAGAAATCAGATGGCTGCAGAAAAGGAAGAATGAAGTCCTCAGACTGGGAAACAAAATATACAAACTTGCTGTGCAACTTTGGACCAGGCACTCAGCTTCTCTGAGCCTCAGCCCCAAGCTTGGGGAATCAGGGTAGTTTATCTGCCAGCCACCTGGCAGGTGAGGGGAGCCAGATGAGATGACATCAGCCAAGGGGTGAGGCAGGCCAGGGACCTTGCTGGGGTGAACACCGTGGGATGAGCACCAGGGCAAGTGCTGAGCCTCTTCCTCCCCAGGCAGAGCTGCAGCAGAAGGTGGCCGAGAACGAGCACCTGCGGCTGGAGCTGCAGATGGTGGAGACGGAGCGGGTGCGGCTGTCACTACTGGAGGAGAAGCTGGTGGATGTCCTGCAGCTCCTGCAGAGGCTCCGAGACCTGGTAGGCTCAGGGCAGCAGCCGCATGTGGGGAGGGGAGCCGGGCCCTGGGCCTTCCTCACAGCTGGCAGGTGCCACCCCACTTTCAGATGCAGGAGGGAGGCTTGGGAAAGCCAAGGAGAGTAGGAGGAAGCCTCCCTGGGTCATTTTAGGCATCTAACGTAACTTGTGATCTCAAGACCAGAAGGGGATAAATACAAGAAAGAAAAAATATAAGCTAACATCACGTTTCAACCCAGCTGCAAAATTATGAAAGAAAACACTTGGTAACCCAATTCAGCAGTGTTTAAAGAAATGCAACACAGGGGGCTGGCGCGTAGCTCAGCAGCGGGACACTTGCCTAACACACACAAGGTCCTGGGTTCCATGCCCAGCACCAGGGAAAAAAAAGTGACATGGCCTAGTTGGATTTCTCTAAGGAATTCTAGGATGATTCCGCATCACATAACTTTGTACCATGACACACCACATTGCAGATTAAAGGAGAAAACCACATGATCATCTCAATGGTTACAGAAAAGGCAATTGATAAAGTTCAGTTCTTTGATTATAACTTCTCAGCAAATTGAGAACAGTAGAGATCTTTCTTAGCCAGATAAGGGGTCTAACCTCCAACCACAGGCAAACTCATTTAAAAAGAAAAAATATTTAGGAGCTTGGCTGAGTTGCCCAGGATTATATCTCTGAAATGAGGTTGGGGTAGGAGTTGAACCCTGGGTGGCTTCTCCTTGCATCAGGCTGCCTGGGCACTGTCAGTCCCTAGCTGTACACAAGCTGCCATAGGCCACCAGGTCCCAGCTGCTGAGTGAGGACACCACAGTCATGGTCTGACCCAACCCTGTCTCCATTTCTTTTAAAGAACATATCGAAGAGAGCCCTGGGGAAGATTTTGCTGAGCACACTGGATGCTTTCGGGGACCCCACACAGGGTAGGAGAGCACCCCATCTTGCTGAGCCTGGACATCAGCCGAAAGGTGTCCTGATAAGCAAATGCCAGCGCTCTGTGTCCTGAATGTCCCCGCTGCAAAATGGTGACATGTTCCTGCCCTGAACACCTGCCAGGGGGGCAATTGGGACCAAGCTTTTGAAAGTCAAAAGCACTATTTGGTAGGAGCACAGGTGCGGAGGCCCCAGGCAGATGCCAAAGAGAAGCCAGTGGGTCAGAGCCAGTAAGGGGGCTGGGTGGGGTGCCCCATTCCTGGCTTACTGTGGGCCAGGCCCTGGTGAAGCACCCCCAGTGCCTTTAACCCCCCATCCTTACAACAGGCTCATCAGGAAGGAGTTATTAGCCCCCTTCCACAGATAGAGTCTGAGGCACAGAGGGTCAAATGCTGGCCATGCCTGCGGCCTTGGGCATCGCTCTTACACCTGAAGCCTTACAGCGCCTCTTGTTCAGAAAAAGCACAGGGCAGCAGAAGGTCACCAAGGCAGAGCTCTGCCTCAGAGGCCTCACTGGTGCAGTGACTGATGGTGTGAGCCTTTGCTTGCCAGGCCCTGGGCATCCAGTGCCCTGAATGGTCCCTGGCTTCCACAAGAAAACCAAGAGGTGTGAGTGCCAGAAGCCCCTGTGGGGTTTTCAGTGGAAGAGAGCAGGATGAGGGGGCGGCCGGGCAGTGGTACAGGACGTGGTAATAGGTGGGTACCGCGTGGAGGAGGCAGCTCTGTGGGCACAGTGGGCAGCCTGACCCTGACTCCCCTGCCTGTCCTTCCTCCCCAGAGGGGAGATTGGGCCCCCTGGCCATCCTGGACGCCCTGCACCAAGCCTTGGCTGGCTGTGAGCTCCTGCAGACAACTCCTTTGGGGCCCGGCTGCACAGCGCCTGCACTCGCCAACCCGCTCCTCATCTCCTGCTGAGGTTGCTGATCCAGCCCAGCAGCCATGAGACCAGCCCAACCACCATGGGGCAGTGGCAGTCTCCAGATCATTCTGGTCACTGTCAGATTGCTCTCCCCAGCCAGCCTGACCTCCACCATCAGAACACCCAGACTGGCCTCTGGCAGCTTCCCCTCCTTGAACTCCTATGGCCCCCACTTCCTACCACCAGGGTACATTAGAGCCCTGCTGTTGCTGGATCAGCCTGCACCTGATGCTGCCTCCCTGGCCTCGGAGCAGAAGGAGCACTTTCCCGCCTAATGGCCTGCCCGCCCCCCTCACACACACACATTGCTGCAAGGGATCCTGGGGCCGACCTTCAGGACACACCTGGTCCATTGGAAACTCCTGCCCCAGGAAATGCTGATGACTAGGAGGGGCTGGGGGACTCCAAAGAAGGAGCCATCCCTGCAGGCTTCCTCATGGGAGCTGGTGCTGAATTCATTCTAGAAAACAGGTAGGTTTTGGATGGCAAAGGCGGAAAGGGCATTGTGGAAGTAGCAAGAGCAAAGGTGTGTGAGCAGGGACCCCATTAATACAGTACCCGGAGCCCCCCTTCCGACACACACTAGGTACTGGTGGGACCCTTGTGGGGTCACAGGAAGATTAAGACAAGGTGCCTGGTCTCACCTAGCTTGAGCTCATGTAGGAAAGAAAGGCACATTAGCTACAGGTACACTGTGGGTGAAATCAGTGCCAAATCGAGGCAAAATAAAGAATTATGAGAACTCAACCAAGAGGGGTTTATGTGAGGCATGGAGGGAAAAATGTAGGGCACAGGGGTGGTGGCAGGGATGGAGGGCATCTGGTCTACTCGGTCTGGGCTGGCAGGAAGGGCCAAGGGCCAGGCATGGGGCCTTCATGGCCGACCAGGATCTAAGACTTGATCCCACAGGCAATAGGGAGCCATAGGAGGGTTCGAAGCTGCAGGTGAGGATGGACTAGAGGCAGGGAGAGAAGTGAAAAAGGGGCAGCAGAGGACTGTGGGAATGAGAGAGAGCCACCAGGGTCTCGAGCCAGAGTCCCAGGGACTGGGTGGTGGGGAGGAGCCAAAGGGCAGCCGTGGAGAGACCTTGAGAGCACCAGGCATTGCTGGGCAGGAGCAGCACAGGAGAGGGGAGGGAGGGGCTCGAAGGTCCTGTGTTTGGCCCTGGCCTCAGGCCCCGCCCGTTGGACACCACAGGAGGCACCAGAGAGCAGCTGCGAACTCCTAATAAAGGAAACCAAGACCACCCCATTTTCAGATAGTTCCCTTGGAAATGGAATAAAAGGGAGCCCAGCCAGGGGCCAGCACAGAGGGGCCACCTCTGGTGCAGATGGACAGGGTCTCTCTATTTGGGAGGGTCCAACAGGCCCCACTCCCCCAGCTGTGCTGCACGCGTAAGCCCCATGTGGGGCCCTGCTCAGTCAGAAGGCCATGCTTGTGCTCACGCTTGTGGCTCCAGGCTCCTACATGTAGGCAGGTGTGTGAGGTAAAACCTATAGGGTGATCCAAGCAGAGGGGAACTCACATTTCCATGGGTTCACCTCCAAGAACTCCATTATGTTCTCATCTGGAAGACTAAAGAAAAAGTCCTGGCCTCTGGCAGGCAGACAGCAGGAAATGAAGCCAGTTTGAAAAACACCAGAACATTCTGTTTTTTTCATTTGCAATCCTGGGGACCAAACTCAGGGCCTGATGGGTACTGATGAAGCTCCCTACCACTGAGCTACACCCCAGCTCCATTCTGGAATTTGAGACCTATTCTCCAGAGGTACTATTTTACCAGAGCCTAACCTGGAGCAGTTTTAGTAGAGCCTAACCAACCCGAGGGAAAAGGAATATTTATGTCTAGGTCCCTTGACCCATCCTGTCCCACTGGAGAGTGAGAAAACTGTAGATGTTCACAGCCCCGGGCACAGTCTCACTGAGAGACTAAGGACTAATCAGAGCACTATATTTTATCAATTGGTGTTTTGTTGTTGTTGATGATGATGATGAGGTGGGGTCTTGCTATTTTGCCCACTGGTCTCAAGCAGTCCTCCTGCCTCAGCTTCCTAAGTAGTAAAGACTATAGGTGTGAACCACAGTGCCCAGCTAATTATAGTACTAGAGAACACTTCCCTTTCTGCTCAGAATGTCCCTTACCACCTATGACTGAAGGCTTATTTACTGGTGTTTCTTTTACTCAGTATATCATGTCTGTCTGTCAGAAAACTACAAGACATACTAAAAGGCAAGAGGCACAGTTTAAAGAAGCAGAGCAAACATCAGAACCAGACCCAGCTATAGTAGAGATTCTGGAATTATCAGAGTGGGAATTTAAAACCACTATGATGAATAGGGAAGGGCTCTAGTGAGAAAAGCAGACAGCATGCAAGAACAGATGGACAATATAAACAGAGAGATGGCTGTTCTAAGAAAAAACCAAAAAGAAATGCTAGAAGACAAAACCACAGTCACAGAAGTGAAGAATGCATCTGATGGGCTCATTAGTAGACTGGACACAGTGAGGAAAGAATATCTGAGCTTGAGGCTGTGTCACTAGAAAGTTCCAAAACTGAAGAGCAAAGTGGAAAAAGACCAAGGTGGAGTGGGTGGGTGGGCAGAATATCTAAGAACGGGGGGGGGGGGACTACAAATATGTTACTTAATATGTGATAGGAACATCAGAAAGGGAAGAAAAAGAGAAAGAAATATAAGCAATATTTAAGGCAATAAGAACCTAGAATTCTTCCCAAATGTCAGACACCAAACCGCAGATGCAGGAAGCTCAGAAAACACAAGCAAAATAAATAAATAAATTTAAAAAGTACACCTTGGCATATTCCAGCTCCAAAAAAAAAAATAAAAATCAAAGATTGGGCCAGGGATTTAGCTCAGTGGTTCCGGCATCTGCCTTGCAAGAGCAAGGTCCTGAGTTCGATCCCTGGTACCAAAAATTAAAAAATAAAAAAATCAAAGAGTAAAAAAAAATCTTGAAAGAATCCACAGGAAAAATAGCATCTTACCTAACAGGAACAAAGGTAAGAATTACACCTGACTTTTCAAAAAATCATGCACGATGCAAGCAAGATGAGTAGAGTGGAATATTTAAAGTGGGGATGACGAAGGAAAAAAGCCTCAAATTCATTGTATCTTTCAAAACTTTAAGGGGAAATAAAGACTTGTTCAATAAACAGAAATTTAGAGACTAGTTCCAGGATACCTGGCTTTGGAGAAATGTTAAAGGAAGTTTTTCTGAGAGAAGGAAAATTATACAGGCCAAACTTGGATCTATTCAAAGAAGGAAGAGCACTAGAGGAGATATTTTAGTTGCTTTGCCATTGTGGGTCCTCAATTGTAGGAAGAAAGGTTCAGTCATTCATTCACTTTGAGACAGGGTCTCACTGTGTAGATCAGGCTGGTCTGGAACTCACTATGTAGCCCAGTCTGGCCTCAAAATAGTAGCAGTCCTCCTGCCTCAACCTCCCAGGTGTTGGGATTATTGGCATTTGCCAACACACCTGGCCAAAGAGGTTTACTTTGGCCCACAGTTTTGAGATAGAAGAAACCACCAGACTCCTGCTGACATCCAGGAGGGGTGTGTTCTGACAGCTGTCACCTCACTCCCTCTGAGGCCTGAGGGTGGACCGGGGTGTCTTCTGTCTCCCTGAAGTTACTTCAAGGCCATCCTCTGGGTTGTGTAGACAGGTGGCTTGTCTCATCTGAAAGCCCCAGCACCCCTCCCCAGCACCCATGCTCTAAGGAGCTACTAGGAATCAACCTTGGCAAGATTAAGATTGAGGTGGAACTGAGTCCCTAAATCCTTAAACCCCAGTGGGCCCTGACCAACACAGCCAACCCTCCTGGAGACTCCTGGAAACCAGTGGCAGTCACAATTTCAACTTCACCCTTTTCTCAGGGAAGTAGCAGCAATTAAGCAACCACTTCTGCTATTCCACGAAACTGTTGCCATGACATCTGGGTTGTCCTGGACCCCCTGCATCCACTCTAAATGTCTGCCACAACTACAGCAGGTTTAAATTTGGGCCAATCGCAGATGACAGTGTGGCAGATTGAATTTGGACCATTCACAGGGCTGGGAAATGTACAAAACTGCACACATGCACAGGCTGCTGCTGCTCTATATTAGCAGTCTTCCCCTCACACTCCTCAGGTTAGTGTAGCAGGCTCCCTCCAGTGTACTGACCAAGCCATAGTACAGCACAGGCCCTGTCTAAAGCTTTGTCCCGGTGTTCCTGGAAAAATCTGCTTGAAATTCTTATCCTGGGGAAAGTGGATACAGCATGTCATTTTAAGAAGAGCTATAAACACTAGGGGCTGCTGGCCTGAAGAGTTCCAAAGACTGACAGCATTAACCAGTGGCAGCAACTGGCAGAGACCAGCAGCAAAAAGAGACAGACCTGCAGAGAGCCCCAGAGACAGTGGAAGCGGCTGGAGGAGCTCTAGATAGCTGGCAAGGGGACCACAAACCTTGGCTTCTGAGGAGCTGATAGGGTGGCTAAAAAATCTGCTAAGAGCTGTAATACTAGGGGCTGGGGGCTCCTGACACTCAGGGCCTGGAGCTATAATATTCAGGATTAAGAGCCATTGGGACTCAAAGCCAGGAGCCACTGGTGGCACTGTAGTTTGCTAATTTGTGATTGTCATCCAAATTGAGCAAAAGAACCTTCTACTGATTGGCAGCAGTTTCAGAGGGGTTCGGTCCAAGGTAGAAATAGCATGTGGAAGGGTCTGGTAGAGGAAAACTGCTCTCTCCATGGCATCCAGGAAGCAGGAAGAGAAGGGAGGAGAGAGGAACAAGAATCCACCCTTTCAGGTCAGCCTCCCCCAGTGACCTTCAACTAGGCCCCGCCTCCTCACGGCACCATCAGTGCATGAATCCACTGCTGAGTGTAACATTCCCCATCCAGTCACGTTCCAAAAGCTCCACCTCTGAAAACAAGACTTTTATGTGAAATTTTAAATGTAACCCATAAAAGAAGGAATAACTGAAGATAAAATGAAAACTTTTATTTTTCTTATTCTTTCTTGGTCTAACATAACAGTTTGTTCAAAATAATAGCAATAATAGATGCAATGGTTATATTTTATATAAGTGAAATGAATGACAGCAATGACATGGGGATGAGAGAAGAAGTTAGGGATATTTTGTTATTATAAGGTACTTAAACTAGTCATGAAGTAGTATAGTGTTATTTGAAAATGGACTTGGGTTCAAAATTTATACTGTAAACTCTACAGCAACCATTAAAAGAGAAAAAAATGTAGTAGTAGAGTGGTGATAGTATAATTGATAAACCAGAAAAGCAGAGAACATGGAATTATATAAAATATTCAATTAAAACCACAAAAGCACTTGAAGGGTGAGCCAGGAAGATCACAAGTTCAAGACCAGCCAAGATTATTTAGTGAGATGCTGCTTTCTTAAAATAAATTAATAGCAAATAACCACAAAAAGCATGACAGGAACAAAAACAAGTGCAATGAGTAGAAAACAGTAACAAACAGCGTAGATATTAACTCAATTATATCAATATCACCTCAAATATTAATGGTTTAATTTTACCAGCTTGAAGACAGGTATTGTCATGGTGGAGTAAAATAACCATAAATTATGTATTACCTGTAAGAAATACATCTTAGATATAGACACAAACAGATGAAGAGGAGAGATGGAGGAAGATATTTGCATGCCAACACTCATGAAAAGAAGGCCTGAATTGCTATATTACTTTCATAGAAAGCAGACTTCAGAGTAAGGAAAATTATCAGGGACAAAAAGAGCATCACCTAATGAGAAAGCAATCAATTCTCCAAAAAGATGTAACAGACTTTAGTGTGCATGTACCTAACAACAGAGTCACAAAAACAGATGAGGCAAAAACTGATGGAGCTGCAAGCAGAAGTAGACAAATCCACTATTTTAGCTGGAGACTTCAACACCCTTCTATGAGAAATGGACAGATTCGGCAGGTAGAAAACCAGTAAGGACACAGCTGAACTCAACAGCACTCATCAACCACATGGATGTAACTGCCAAATACAGACTCCTTCATCCCATGCCAGCAGAATATACATTCTCCTCACACTCACACAGAACATTCTCCAAGTTACACCATGTGCTGGGCCATAAAACTCCCTTTACTAAATCTAAAAACAGAGAAATCATACAGTGCTCTCAGTTGACAACAGAACTAGCCAGAAATCAGTAACAGATAGCTGAAAATTCCTCAAATACTTAGTGATTAAACAACATACTTCTAAATAACACATGGTTTAAAGAAGGTATTTCAAGAGGAATTTTTTAAAAACTTGAACTAAATTAAAATGGAAATATATCTTATCCAAATTTGTGGGATACAGTAAAAGCAGTGTTTGGAAGGAAATGTAGAACATCAAATTTGTGTATTAGAAAAGAAGAAAGAACTAAAATCAATAATCTAAGCCTCCACCTCAGGAAACTATAAAAAGAAAAGCAAATTTTAACTCTAACTTGATTAGTACTTTCCAACTTGATCTATAGAGTCAATCCAAAGCAGAAGAAAAGAAAAATTAAGGCAGAAAAAAAAATTGAAAATAGGAAATCAGGAGAGAAAAACAACAAAACCAAAAGCAGATACTCTGAAAATATCAATAAAAATGATAGGCTTCTAGCTAGGCTAATTAAAGAAAAATTAGAGAAGACACCAACTATTAATAACAGAAACCAAAGAGGGCACATCACTAGAGATCCCACTGACATCAAAAGGATTTTAAGTGAACCCTATGCATACTTTATGCCTACAAATTTAAAAACCTATATGAAAGGCATCAATTCCTTGGAAGATGTAATTTTTAAAATCTCATAAAAGAAATAGACAATCTGAGTTGGCCTATGTCTATTAAAGAATTTAATCAATAATAAACTTCAAAAAATAGGCCTACATAGGTTCACTGGTTAATTCTACTGCTGAACTGTATGGAAGACATTATACAAATTATTTACAATCTCTTTCAGGAGATACAAACACAAAGACTTTCTCCTAACTCATTCTATAAGGCCAGAATTACCCTTACACCAGACAAAGGATTTACAAGAAAAGAAAACAACAGATCAATATCTCTCATTAACATAGATACAAAAATCTTCAAGAAATATTAGCAAATCAAATCCAACAATGTATAAAAAAGTGTTTATCACAGCCATGTGAGAGTGACACACTGATTCTAAATATGTAGAGAGACAAAAGACTTAGTATGGGCAACTCTAGACTGAATGACAAGAACAGAATTGGGGAACTGATACAGCCCAACTTAAAGACTTACTGTAGAGCTGCAGTATTCCAGACAGCATGGTATTGATGAAAGAATGGTCCACTAGAGAAGTGGAAGAGAATGGAAAGCCTAGAAATAGATTCACATAAATCTAGTCAACTGATCTTTGAAAAAGGAGCAAAGTCAATACAAAGGAGAAAAGAAAGTATTACAAAAAGTGGTACCAGGACAACTAGACATTATGAAAAAAATATGAATTAGGCAATAATCTTGTACCTATCACAAAAATTAACTCAAAAGGTTCATAGGCCCAAACATAAGAAAGCAAAAATGATAAAATTCCCAAAAGATAATACAGATAACCTTGGATTTGATGATGACTTTTAAAATACAACACCAGAGGCATGATCCATCAAGGAAATAATTGATAAATTGAACTTGATTAAAATTTAAAACTTCTGCAACAAAACCCTGTTTTTGAGAATGAGAATGAGAAGAGAATGAGAAGACAAACCACACATAGGAAAAAATATTTGCAAAACACATATCTAATAAAGGACTGTTACCAAAATATACAAAGAACTCTTAAAACTGAATAAGGAAACAACCTGAGCCAGGTGTAGTGGTGCACATCTATAATCCCAACCCTCTGTAAAGCTGAGTCAGGAAAACTGCAAGCTTGAACCCAGCCTGGGCAACTTAGCAACTTAGAAAGACCCTGTCTCAAAATAAAAAAGAAAAAGGGCTGGGGATGTAGTTCAGGGGGAAGACCCACGAGAGTTCAATCCTCAGTGGTATAAAACAAACAACCTGATTTAAAAATGGCAACAGGGCCGGGGATTTAGCTCAGTGGTTTCGCCGCCTGCTGTGCAAGCACAAGGATCCATGTTTGATCCCTAGTACCAAAAAAAAAAAAAAAAAAAAAAAATTTGGGCTGGGGATTTAGCTCAGTGGTTCTGTGCCTGCCCCACAAGCGCAAGGACCCGAGTTTGATTCCCCAGTACCAAAAAAAAGACATTAAAAATGGCAGCAGACCTGAACAGACATGTCATTAAAGAATATACCCAGATGGCAAATATGCATAGAAAAATATACTCAATATCATGTTATTAGGAAAATGCAAATTAAAACAATGAGATATCACTGCATACCTAGTGGAGTAGCCACAATCCAAAACACTGACAGCACCAACTGCTGGCAAGGACATGGAACAAGAGGAACTCATTCCCTGCTGGTGGGAAAATGGTCTGGCCACTTGGGAAGACAGTTTGGCAGTTTCTTACAAAACTAAACATACTTTTACCACACAATCCAGCAATCACACTCCTTGACATTTACCGAAAAGACTAGAAAATGTATATTCACACAAAAACTTGCACACAGACACTTACAATAGCTTTATTCATAACTGCCAAAACTTGGAAGCAATAAGCTATCCTTCAGCAGGTGAATGGGAAAATAACCTGTGCTACTTCCAGACAGTGGAGTCTGATTCGGCACTAAAGAGAAATGAGCTCTAAAGCCATGAACAGACATAGGAGAAGCCGGGTGCGGTGGTGGCGCACGCCTGTAATCCCAGCACTTGGGAGGCTGAGGTAGGAAGATTGCTGTGACTTCAAGACCAGGTTGAAGTACATAGTGAGACCCTGTCTCAAAAACAAACAAAAAGAAAAGACAAGATATGGGGGAAACTTAAATGCATATTACTTAAAGATGCCAATCTGAAGTCTCCAAACTGTATGACCACACCACAGGCTGGACAAGGTGAAACTATGGAGGCAGCAGTTGTTAGGAGTTAGGGGAAGGAAGGGATGATCGGCACAGCTATGACCCTAAAACTGCTCTAAAGAAAGAATGAAAAAGGACACTAGATACAGGTGGGCTCTTTGCTGTCTTTGCAGAGACTGGTGTGGGGCACTTCCAGGGCCCCCTGAGCCTTGCTGACCTACAGCCTGCACCATTTCCCTTTCACCCAGTGGGGCTTCCCCCAGCTCCAAGCCTTTGAGCTTGGATGTGACCTGAGTATCTGTCTGATGCCCTGCTTTGGCCCCTACACTCCCAGCCAAGCACAAGTCTCAGGGTGAGATGCCCTCAGAGGCCCACCAGGTTTCCAGGAGGAAGTCCTGGGTCAGGGTCAGAGACCAGGCACGGGGCTTCCCAATCACCTCCACATCTTACTGACAAGGACCCTTCCCCAAGGCCACACAGCCCAATAGCCACGCCAGGACTCAGGCCCCTATCTGACTCAACCCCATCCTCAAAACCACCGGCCCAGCCTGCATCACGGTAAGAGGCAGGAGCTTACGGACCACTGAGGCCTGAGCTCACATGCAGGAAAGGGGAGGAGTGTGCGGTTTTCCAGAAAGATGGTGGCGCTGCTTTGTGAGACGAACTGAAGGCTGAGGCCACATTTTGCTGCAGGGAGCAAAATGCTGGAGTGCAGGGATCTGCCGTCATGGGAAATGTGGGGTCCCCTTGGGTCAGGACAGATTCAGTAAACAAGTCCTCCGAAACCTTGACCAAAAACAGAGCCTCCTCTGATCTTTGGGCCCAAGCATCAGTCACAACCAGGACCCAACAACATTTTCTTGTCACTTCACAGTCCTGGGAGCGACTACCAACCAATGAATCCGTTGGCTGATGCCGACAGTAAAGCTTTAGACTTTTCTTGCTAGAGCCCTTGTAATAATTTAAATTTGAAAATCTCTTATTAAATATACCTTCGAGGTCTTTGATACTCTTCCTCCAAACTGTAATGCTTAATTCTCTTCCCATAGATGACGACTCACAGTCAAGTATGGTGATGCACACCCGTAATCCCCCACTCTGGGAGACTGAGGTAGGAGGATCGAAAGTTTGAGCACAGCCTAGGCAACTTAGCAACTTTAGTGAGACTCTGTCTCAAAATTAAAAAAAAAATTTAAGAGGCTTAGGGTTGTAGCTCAGTGTGAAGGCACCATGCAGCTCCTCTGGGTTCTCTGCCTATGGTCTCCCAAGGTAGAAATCACAGTGTCACAGGGCTGGAATCCTCTCTGGGGCTCTGCAAAGCACTCACCCATAGGTCCATCCAGGTGTTGGCAGATCCAGCAAGGGTGTGTGGGTCTTTGTTCCCTCCTGTGCTGCCAGCCGAAGAACACTCTTGATTAGCTTAGGCCTCCTGGAAAGTCTCTTAGGGGGATCTTAGGGTCGACTGTGTCATAAAACCCATGACAAGCACAGGAGTGATAGATAGCTCATCACTTTTACAAGTTCTGGGGGTACGCTGTGGAATCCTGGGAGCCATTCCTTGGGATTCTGTCCACCTGGCTGGCTTTTCTTTTCTCTTTCTTTTCTTTACTTCCTTCTTGTCTCTTTCCTTTTCTTTTCACAGTACTGGGGAGTGAACTCAGGGCTTTCACACTCAGGTACACCCCCGGCAGCCTCCTCCTCTGCCACCTTTATTTATAGATAGGTTCTCAATAAGTCACTAACTTGCCCAGGCTGGGCTCAAACTTGCAATTCTCCTGCCTCTGCTTCCAAGAATGATGAGATGACAGGCATGTGCCACCTGGCCTAGCTACCCACTCTTTAGATAGGAGCAGTACCTCTGCTGTTAACAGCGGGTAGAAAGGTGGACCATGTGTGCAGCTATGGACAGACGGACGGGTTTGGTGGTGGGAGTACATTCAGCTGCTCTAACAAAGACCTGAAGACAGATGCTTAAATTTTCTCTCTCAGCGAGCAGATCCAGATAAGCAAGCCAGAGCTGGGATGGCAGTTCCAAAATCACCCTGGACGTGGACTTTCTCTCCTTCGATATTTTAGCTCTGCCATTCTCAATTTAGGTCCAAAACAATCTACCCTCCTAAAAGCCAGGAGACACTAAGAAGAATACTACCTTTCTCTGTATAAATGGACCAGGAAGCATGTATGTCTCTTCCTCCTCTTTTCCCATTGGTCCAAACATAGTCACATGAGAAGTCTCAGCAAAGGAGGCTGGGATATGTAGTCTTTGGCAGGAAGGCTCAGGGTATATCTGAAAAGAATGGATGCTGGGGGTGGGCAGTGGTCATCCCTGAGTCAGCTGTGGGGCCATGACGGTGAGAGAGATAAAAGAAAAGTGAGACGGTCCCTGGTCTGTTTAGAGATGGGCTGGAGCAAGGGTGCTCAGACTCTGTTGAGCAAAAAAGGAAAAAAAGGTAAATTTTATGTTGTGTGTATTTTATCACAAGTTTCTAAAGAAAACTAGGGTTTGAATAAGGAAGAGAAATTACTCAGAAGCAACAATAATGAACGAGGGGGCCAGGTCCTTGGAGCCAGCAAATTTCCCTTCTAGGATTGGAAAAGGATGAGAGGAGAAGGCAGCAGGACAGAATGTGCTGTTGACAGTGAGAGACTTGAGCAAGGTGAAGATGTGGTCAGCCAAGGGAACAGAGAGGGGGCAAAGCATGGGACCACAGGAGGGAAGACATTGGCCAGAGATGTGCAGAAAGAACTTGCTGCAACTTGGTGGCGGATGAGATGTGGGAGCAAGGGACTAGGTCATTCCAGGATGGCACACTGGTCTCTGGGTGACTGTGTGGATGATGCCAACTCTCCCTTGCACTGTGGAATACTGAGATGGAGGTGCCTTTGGGTATGTGGGGCACAGAATCCAGTTAGGCCATGGCAAGCATGAGGGCTCCATAGGCCACTGAGGGGGATGTGCAAGGAAACAGGATGACCAGGTCAGGGATGGAGTCAGAGGAGGGAGCCAAGTGGGACATGAGGCCAAGAGAGATAAATGGCTGGAGAGGACTCAGTACCCACAGGGAACAGCGGGACATCTGGTTTGGCTGTGGGACAGGGGGACAAGGGAGTGCCGTGGTGTCCAAAACACAGGCACACCAGGTTTTTCTAGACTAAAAGGGCCCATAAGCATAGTTACAGACCAGAGAGGGGCTTCCATGTACAGGGAGTGACCAAGCAAGGAGCCTGAAAGGGCAGGGTCAGGGAATGCCTCCATTTCCCCACAGCAAAAAGGTGCAGAAAACCAGGGCAGCCAACTTGGGCAGCCCTTGAAAGAGATGCTCTCCTCTCCCTTGGTGCTCCCAGCCTGCTTCCCTCTCTAGTTCTAAGCCCATCTGAGTGACTCCACTCAGAGGCCCAGGACCCCTCATCCTGGTTTTGTGTCTTTAGCCAACACCAACCATGACCATGGGGTTGGCCCATGGGTCCCCTCCTCCCGTGGACCCCACCCTCAGCAGCCCCAACCTGGGTGCTTCTGGCTGAGGAATCTGCTTATTTATGTCACCAGAACCCCTTCTGTGTGACCCCAAAGCATTGCTGTACCCCAGGGGTTCGCTGACTTGCATGGCCACCACCCCGCTGCATGGACAAACTCTACCATCTGCAAACCACTGATTGACTTGATTTTATTTCATAATAGTGAAATCTTCATGATTCATTACAAAATGTGTAGTGTTTTAATTTTCCAATATAACCATTTTACTGTTAGGCTTAATTTTGATGAATATAACTCTAAAAACATAATAAAATTAATGATACATTTATCTTTTAAAGGGAATACATATCACTAACTTTAATAGAAAATGACGTCGGGTTGCCCTCACGGTCCCGCTGGCCCAGTGCCCCTCCTTCCCACGCGTCCAGGCACCGTGGCCGATCCTCACGTGAGGCAGATTAAGGTCAAGACCTGCATGGTGAAGCGACTGGGCAAAGAAAAATTGATGTATGAAAAAGAAGCAAAGCAGCAAGAAGATTGAAAAAATGAAAGCAGAAGATGGTGAAAATTATGCCATTAAAAAGCAGGCAGAGATCCTGCAAGAGTCCCGGATGATGATCCCAGCTTGCCAGCGCAGGCTAGAGGCGGTTTATACTGATCTTCAGCAAATATTAGAAAGTGAAAAAGATTTGGAAGAAACTGAAGAATATAAAGAAGCACGTTTAATTTTGGATTCAGTGAAGTTAGAAGCCTGAAACTTTTCTGTACAGAGTGTTTTTGCATTAAATCCTAGGGTCCATTCATTATTTTTACCACGGCTGGGTGTTAGAGTAGTATGAGAATGTGATTCTTTTTATGGAGTTGCAAATACTTTTCTTTGCATAATTTGTCAAATAAATGAGTTCATCTAATAAACCGTTTATTTCATACTTAAAAAAGAAGAAAATGATGTCAGTCCCCCAAATAGAAAGTAGCCATGGAAGTAGATATAATGCAAATAAAGCGATGGTCTTTAGTTCTAGCTAGACACTAAGGTCTGCTAGAGGTTCTGAGCCTTGGGCCTGCAGTTATTCATTAGAAAGAGGATTCAGGATGTCAGAACGTCAGATGCTGAAGATACCAGGGCACAAAGAGGGACTTTTTCCTTGGCTCATTCATAGGGAATGAAGAGGACTAAAAATAGTCACTCTCAGCGGGTGTGGTGGCACATGCCAGTAATCCCAGAAGTCTGGGAGGCAGAGGCAGGAGGAGCTCAAATTCAAGCCCAGCCTGGGCAACTTAGTGAGATTTTATTTTAATATAAAAAATAAAGGGGCTGGGGATTTAGCTCAGTGGTGCCGTGCCTGGTTGGCAAGTGTAAGGTCCTGAGTTCGATTCCTGGTTCCAAAAAGAGAAGAGAAAAGAAAAGAAAGAAAGAAATGAGGATGTAGCTCAATATAAAGGCCCTGGGTTCAATCCCAAGAACCAAAAAAGAAAAGTTACTGTCCCCTGTAGAGCTGCTGTTGAGGGAGCTGTCCAGCCCACACTTCTGGGAGACAAACAGGATGGAAGTTATTGCTCCCATTTTACAGATGGGGAAAATTGAGATTGAGAGGAACAACCGCTGAGACTCTTACATCAGCGGCCTTCTCCTCCAGAAAGCACTGGCACTAGGTGAGGGGCTGCTTCAGGTCTCCTCCAGATGCAAGACCAGCACCCCGGGGAGACGACAGTAGAATGGGACGCCCTTCCCTAAATTGGGGTCAGCCTGCGGCTCTGTGCCCAAGGCCCCTGGACCTCTTGCCTCCGGAGATAGCCCTGGGCTGCACTTGGGGGATAAGCCGGACTATTTTCATCATTTCCTTCCTGCCTCCAGCAGCGGCCACCATCAACTGTTTCCCACAGTGCTGCCACCGAGGGCTCCAGCAGGACGGTCCAAGTCACGGAAGAGGTGCCTGACCTAAGGCTGCACAGGTAAGTGGCCTCCTTATTACCCAGCATGCCTCCTGCCTGGCGGCCCCTCCTGCGGGACTGGCAGGGAGAGAGGAGGCCACCTCTGTCCCTAGATTCGTTTGTTGAGTCAGTGAGTATTCACAGAGGTGTGCTGGGGGAAAACTGTCGAAGGAAACAGCCCTACTGCTCCCGCTGCAGGGAACCCATCAGACGGGGGACCTGTGGACGCTCTGCTGGCCTGACCTGTCTCGATCTCTCCTGGTGTCTGGGGACCACGGGCCAGGGCTGGGACTCACTGAGCTGTCATTTGCTCCCCTCACCTGAGCAGATGATGGGGTCTCTGCTAGGGTCCAGGAAGTCCCTTCCCAAGAATACACTCCCGCAGCCAACCGCCCTCACTGTCCTGCCTCTGGTGTGTCGGGTGAGGCCTTGAGGCCTTCAGCCCCTCAGCCCCTCAGCCCCCATCCCGGTGCCACTGAGGAGAAAGCTGAGGCCCAAGAAGGGAGGTGGGCACCCCTTGTCCCAGGTCCCACCAGCAGGCCCTTCCTTGTGCCCTCTCTCCCCACAGCCTGCCTGCCTGATGCCTGCCTGGGGGCTTCTGCTCCTGCTCTGGACTGCAGTACAGGCTGTGAAGGACTGCCCGGCCCCATGCAGCTGCCAGGCACTGGAAACCATGGGGCTTCATGTGGACTGTGAGGGGCGTGGGCTCACGGTGCTGCCCACCCTGCCCTCCAACACTCGCCACCTCCTTCTGGGCAACAACAGCCTGCGCTCCGTGCCCCCAGGCGCCTTTGACCACCTACCCCAGCTGTGGACCCTTGATGTGTCGCAGAACCCCTGGCACTGTGACTGTGGCCTTACCTACCTGCGCCTCTGGCTGGAGGACCACGTGCCCGGCTCCCTGGCAGACATCCTCTGCGCCAGCCCTGCCCAAGCTGCCCACCACCCACTGGGCCAGCTGACTGGCTACCAGATGGGCAACTGTGGCTGGCAGCTGCAGGCATCCTGGGCCCACCCGGGGATCTGGTGGGACTTGGCGCTGGTGGCGGTGGCTGGGATGGGCGTGGCCCTCCTAGGGGGCCTTCTGTGCATCTCCACAGAGTCCCTGGTCTGAAATCAGAAGTCCAGAGTCGCCCCCTGGCACTGCTCTCCAGAGCCCAGCAACTCTGCTCACCTCAAACCATCAGAAGCCCCCGAATAAACTGGCTGCTTAGCCATTTTACCTAAGCTCAGAGTTGTCTGTTTTCTCTCAGCACGTGAATCTGGCTCCTTCTACAACCCTGAATTCCTTTTGTTTTAACCAGATAGTGGTTGGGGCTTCTCCGACCCTCAAGTTCTCAGGAGCATGAGCTGTCCTACCTCCCCCACCCAGTCAGCTCGTACGGCACAATCTCCAGATGTCCCAAACCAGGTTGTGGACTCTGATTCTCACACTGTCTGCCACATGGGTCTCCCAGGGTGACCCAGGCCAGCTTCACATCAGTATTCAGCCCTATCTCAAAGTCCACAGGAAGCTGGCAGTGAGCAAGACAGGGTGCACTGAAGATCCCAGGAGGGGGCTCTGTCTCCACAATCTAAGATCCGTTCCCACATGGATTTCCAGCAACAGCCCCATGAATTAAGAACAGTGCCAGCTAAGGTCCGAGAATGCCACTGGGAAGATCAAGTGGGCACAGAGTAAGGCTAGAGGTCACTAGCCCACAGAGGTCAGGGAGGGACAGGGGTCCCAAACTCAGAGTAGGGGACAGTGGGGAATGGTGGGGACTGCCATGTTCCATCCAAAGGGGTCAGCCAGTTGCCATTGTGCGCAGATGTGGATGTGGACCCAGGAGCCCAGGCTGCCAGAGAGGTTGGAGACCTTGATTTTTATGTGCAATCTCTTTCACTGTTGGCAGCTAAATAAAAACTTTAAAAAATATATCAGCAGAAAAAATGAAACAAATCAATCATCTGGATGGAATCCCAAGGCTGGGTTTATGTTTTTGCATTAGAAGACAGCTGTTATATGGCCGCCTAATAACAACAGTCAGGGCCAGTGGCTCCAGCTCCGTGTCAAGTACCTCACATTCTTAGTTCTCTTGGAAACCAGGTGAGCAAGGCAATGTCCTCCTCCCCTGGGCATGGAGGAGGGGCGGGTCTGTCATGATTCTCTTTCCCACGTGAACAGTGACCCCTCAGAAGCTCCTGGGGCCTTGGAGTTCCCTGTAACTAAGGCCCTTCTGCCCCCAACTCCCATGTGTGGTACAACCCAGGTCACCTGCCCCTAAATTCTGCCCCACCCCACTCCCCTGAGGCGGAGGGGAGGGGGGTGGAGGACCATCAGTGGCCAGCAGAAGTTTCCCAAAGTGGACATTTGGTTCCCACGAGAGCCCCAGGAAACAAGAGCCCTGGGAACGCAGGAAGCTCAACATCTGTCTTCTTCCACGGGTCTGCTAGAGCGATGGTCACAGAATGGCGCTGTGGCTTGAGTCTGATGTGTCCCCCAGAGGCCTGTGAGCTTGGTCCCCAGCCTGGAGGCAGGACCTAGGGGAAGAACGCTCAGTTATAGAAGTGCACTTGAAGGGGACATTGGGACCCCTCTTTGCTTCCCCACCACCGTGAGGTGAGCAGCTTTCTGTGCCACATGGTCCCACCATAAATGAGCCCCCCACTACAAGTCCAAAGGCTACTGGGCCATGGACTGCAACTATGAATCAAAACAAATCTTTCTGGGCCGGGGATTTAGCTTAGTGGTTCCACCACCTGCCTCGAAAGCGCAAGGACCCGTGTTCGATCCCCAGTACCAAAAAAAAAACCAACGACAAAGAAACAAATAAAAAAATCTTTCCTAGGCATGGTGGTGCATGCTGATAATCCCAGTACTCTGGGGAGGCTGAGGCAAGAGGATCATAAATTCAAACAACTTAGTGACTCACCAAGATCCCATCTCAACATTTAAAAGGGGTAAGGTGTAGCTCACTGTGAAAATCCGGTTCCATCCTAGTACCACACGCAGATACATACACACACACACCCTCTTTTTTTTTGGTACTGGGGATCGAACTCAGGACCTTACACTTGCGAGGCAGGCGGCGGAACCACTGAGCTAAATCCCCAGCCCCCTCCCCACTTTTATTAAGTTGATTGTCTCAGATATTTTGTCACTGTGACAGAAAGCTGTTTAACACAGAGAGGCATTTATGGGCAATGACAATTTATTTCTCACTGTTCAGAAGGCTGGTAAGTCCAAGGTCAAAGCACCAGCATTCAGGGACTATGAGGACCCCCTTGTGCAGAGGAGAAGGGGGCAGAACAAACCCATCCCTTCCCTCCAGCCCACAACCTGGTCACCTCCTAAAGCCTCCATTTCTAAATACTGTCACTATGGGAATTAATTGTCAACACATGAACTGGGGGGTGGGGAGACACTTTCAGACCACAGCCCCACCTCCACCATCCTGCCTCCATCCCACACTGGCAAGGCCACCACCAGAGGGCCACCCGCCCCTCCCCCTGCTGGCCACCACCGTCCCCCAGGGCAGACCCGTTAGCTACAGAGAATCCACTGGGACCATCAGCAGCTCTCCGCTCCTCCACCAGCGCCACAGCACCAGCTAGCATAGACCTCCTGCCATCCCGCTCTGTCACAGCGCTGTCCCTGTCACAGCTGTTAACACTGTGAGCGCCACATGTCAGTGCACATCACTCCCATCATATGCCACATGCCAACTCTGCTGTCGGCACCGAGCATCCCTGGGGGCGCCATAACATCACTTCATGGTCCTCTCCTTCACGGGCACTGTTAAAACCCACCTGGCCATACAGCGTCTGTCGAGGTGACTCTTACCACCTGGCCCCCTGCCCTCAGCTTATCCATCACTGCTGTCGGGCGTGGACAGTGGCCCACCGGGAGGCAGTCTCAGGGAGCCGGCTCAGTGCTTGCCTTCGTTCAGGGCCCTCTGGGATCCCTCTGCTGCTCTGTGTTCCTCTGGCCAGTGGGAGAGCAGAGGCAAAGGGGACAGCTTGGTTCCCTTGGCCAGGCCCAGAGGTGGCATAGATCATGCATTTGCCATCTAGATCCCAGCCCATGAAGGCAGCCCCGAAATGTACCCTCACTGTGGGCCCAGAATGAGCAGCAGGTGTTTGCCCAGCATGCACCAGGCCCTGCGTTCCATCCCCAGTGTGGAAAACAAATCAATATGCGGGCTGGGCGTGTGGTGCACACCTGTAGTCCCAGCCGTGTGGGAGGCGGAGGCTGGAGACTCACTTGAGCCCAGGTGCTACCATTTGGATCAGGAATATCTGCCAAAGGCCCGTGTGCCCAGCTGATGGCACTACTGGGGAGAGGTAGACCCTTTAGGAAGCATGGCCTATAAAACGAAGTTATGTCATGCGGTGGCATGCCCTGGAAGGGGATATTAGGTTGCGAGTTTTTTCCTCTTCGCTTCCGGGCTGCTATAAGGTGAATGTGCCTCTGTCAAGCATTCCTGCCATGAAGCCACCATGGCTCAAAGCAAGGGGACCAAGTAACCATATACTGAAATGTTGGAATAGGTGAGCCAAAAATCTTACTTCCTTATATAAATTGGTTATTTCAGGTATTTTGTCACAGCAACAGAAGTTTGAGCCGTGCACCAAGAGTTCAAGGCCAGCCTGGGCAACATGGCCAGACTTTCACCTCAAACAAACAACTAGGAAGCCGGGGATTTAGCTCAGTGATTTCACCGCCTGCTGCGCAAGCGCAAGGACCCGAGTTTGATCCCTGGTATCAAAAAAACAATTAGGTGCGGTAATGTACTTTCGTTAGTCCTAGCTATCCGGAAGCTGAGGCAGGAGGACTGCTTGAGACCCACTTGGGCAAAATAGCAAAGTCCTCACTCAAATCAATTCATCTATTCCATCTGGGAAAGGTATTTTGTACCACGTAGGACTTATTTACCTGGACAAATTTTGTAGAATGAATTTGTATTTTTTTAGACTAAAAGTCAAAATTTGGGCATTTGTTGTGGTTATTTTATGGTACTGGATATTGAGCCCAAGGCCTTTGCCCTGAGCTACCTTTTGGTCTATTTTTTATTTTTCATTTTGATAGAACCTTGCTGAGTTGCTAAGTTGCCTGGGCTGAGCTCCCCCCAAACCTGCTGCCTCAGTCTCCAACAATACTGGGATTACAGGTGTGTACCACCATTTCATAAAATCGAGACGTTGAAATATATCTTCGAGATTCAATACTTACCAAAGTTTCAAGGCAGGCTTCCTGTCCTGGATTGTTTCTATATAAGCTCAGCCCCCAGTGCATCCCTACCAGTGAACAGTTTTGGGGTAGACGTCTGTGTCGGGCACCGGCGCAGCTGCTGCCCCAGAAGCATTCCAGCCATGGAGCAGAGGGGCAGGGATGCCAGTGATTACTATCACGTGGCCAGTGCTATGCTCCGTGGCTTCAGTGAAGACTGGGTTTGTCCTTTGGGAAGATGGGGGAAAGGAGTCTGAGAAGCACACAGAGGAGACGCAGGTGTGGAAAGAACCTTCAGTGTTGAGAGCGCAGTCTACGCAGTAACTTGGAGGTGTGTAGACCGATCTATTTGAGGAACCCTGGGGCTTGAGCACAGGGCCTGTGGAAGGGATGCAGAGGGGCGGTGGGCAATCCATTCCCCACCCTACAATTAAAAATACAGTGTCTCATAAGATAAACATGAACAGCATAGGCTCCTGTTCCCAAGGGTTCAGACAACGCACCTGGAAGCCAACATCATGGTGCATGATTTTTGCAGAAAGATGGTGGTGGTGTAGGTTGACTAACAAGGGCAAGGAGTCCAGTTGCAGCCTGTCTCCCTCTCAGCAGCAAAGGCAGCTCAGTGGCCTGGGGTGAAGGAAATGGAGGGCTGATTGGTAGCAACTGGGAGGCTTGGACTAGTCCACGGCCAGGACACGGGCCTAGGTGGAACCTGTGGCTAACTCCTGTCCTTCCTGCAACCCCTTGCTTCTAATCCAGGCTTTTGAGGTCCAGTTCTCCTTCCTCAGGTTCCACTCAGCCTTTTGGTTCTGTCAGGCCCTAGGGTTCTGTGCCTTTGTGGTGAGACCAGCTTGAACAGCTTTTGGGGAAGTTGCTGTTTTATGGTTCAGTTTCACTGGCTGTTTGGAAAGGATGTGTGCCTCTCCTTTCAGAGTGCAGGTTATCTGGCTAATTGTGACTCCCCTTGTTTTAAAAATATGTTTAAATCGACTTGAATTCTTTGCTGAGCTGAAGGTGCAGCTCAATTGTAGAGTCCTTGCTTTAGGCCCGAGGGTTCGATCCCCAACATGACATTCAATTTCTTTTCTTTTCTTTTCTTTTTTGGCTTAAATTCTTTTATTGGTACATTTTAGGTATACAATACATTTACATTTATCATTGGGTGCTTGTACCTATACATGATGTATGTTGGTTCTTATTTTTTTTTCCCATTACCTGTGAACCCTTCACCCCTCCACCCTTCCCTATTTACATAGACTTCGCTTCCATTTTTTATGACATTCAGTTTCACAAGCCAGGTGAGGTGGCCCATGGCTATAATCCTAGCTAGTCAAGAGGCTGAGGCAGGAGGATCGCAAATTTGAGCCTAGCTTGGGCAACGTAGAGATTTAAGCTGTCAGCAGGCTGAGTCTGAGAGTTTCCCAGACTTAACTCATCCCTCTATAGCAAGCTCACGGACTCCTGTCACAGAAAAAACTTTTAGAGCAAACTAGAAAGACACAAGTAGGAGGGAAAGGCAGAGAGTGAAATACACACTCAAGAAGGGAATGCAGGTGCTCAGAGAAATGAGACACATTACAGTTGGGAACTGAATACATTTCTACTTTTTCTTGAAGGACAGAAAAACTAGGGGAAAAGTCCCCACCTTCTTTCTCTCCTCCTTCCAAAGGGTACCAGCTTGTTAGCAGGCATGGGTTTTATTTTTTTTGACTATGTGATTTAAATAGTCTCTGGATTTATTCAGCCTCCTGTTGACTTTTTTAATCAGGCCAACTTAGGGTCTTTTGGTAATGGGCCTGGTAGGGAAGAGGTATAAATCTAGCTAAGGAGCATTGGCATGGGGCTGTTTTGGGTGACTTGAGCTAAGTCCTGGAAGTTTCAGTCTTAAAAAGTACAACTTTTAGTTATGATGTCTTTGTCTCTTTTGTAAAATATCTTTTAGGCCTGGGGATTTAGCTCAGTGGCACTGCACCTGTCTCTGAGTCCGATCCCCAGTACCAGTACCACACACACAAAAAAAATCTATCTATCTATCTATCTATATATCTTTTATTTCTTCTATCTTATTCACCTCTGTGAGACTTTGATCCCTTATTTTTAAGAGGGTGCAGAGCCCTGACGGTCCAACTGTGTAGCTACTATATAACTTTCTTTATACTGAGGAGGGGCTTTGGCCCTATCTATCAAGGGACTGAAAGTCTCTTCCTGATGGGCCTAAAGGAAACATAGGAATATCAGGCTTTGTTGTTTGTAAAACCATCACTCTTTGATAGCCTGAAAAAGAGGGCAGGGGCATATGAGACCTTAGCCCACAACAACAATGGATCATGTAACAAAAGAATTTCAATGCGCAGTATCATAACCAAAGAAATGAGAACTTTTTTCCACCATGCTATTTTAGAAAACCCTGAAACCAGGCAGTCATTGATGCTTACAGCAGAGTCTGACATTGAACCAATCTGTGAACATAGGTCTTGTAATGCAGAGGACACATTTGCAGAGTGGTCAGGACTGTACACACAACATTGTGTTTTAATAATGGCACATGTTCCATCTTGTTTTGTAGTTAGGATATCTAAGGCCATTTGGTTTTCTAAAACGGCTTTACGTATTCATCATTTTTACTTTTGACTTTAGTAATGAAATACCCCTACAGTGTTATTTAAAGCCTTTTGGGGTATAGTTAGTAAGAGATTTAATGTGCCCATTATATTTTTAAATCCTATTTGTAGAATAAAGATAGAGGCCAAATGATCCTACCAGTGAAAAATTGATCTTGTTCACTGATGTTGCAAGACTAGGAGGTTGGCTGGTCAATCTATTGTTTGAACCCAGGGCTCTTGCACCCATGGGTACCCCAGTACACATCTTTTTAACCAACCTGGAGGCAACCAAGCCCATAGGTGTGTGCCACAGAGCCACTAGGTACCATCTGGGGCTGGCCATCTTATTTTAGCCCTTGTCTTTTAGTAGCAAATAAGTCAGTATCTTTTAACAAAATAGTGTGATTATAGCTTAGTGTAGGAATCTGTTCCCTATTGGAGATGGCATTGTTTTATTTGTTATAAGTGTGGATTTTTTGTTCTCAATGAAGGGGTGTAGTTGGCTGAGTTGTCCCAATGTAAATGTCAGCCAGACATGTTTATCCCAGACCTGAAAACATTTATCCATGGATTAATGGTTTTCTTTCACCATGGGAGTTTTAGGAGTGTGGGGATGATCAGGAGCTCTGTATTTTTATAACTGTATTTTTATATCTATATTTTTATTGTGGCTAGAGAAAAATTTTTCCCTTGGCTGCTTTTATGAAGAATCTCATTTATAGGCCACTGAGAGACATTAGAACTGGGAACAAGCTTTAAAGGTGATGTACTTCACAGTTGTTTTATAACATCTTGAGCTTTTACCCAGTCATCTCCCTGTAAATGTAATACCCACCACGATAGCACAGGTGTACTAGAAGTGGGCAATTGTTCAAATTGTTCAAAGAATGTATCTTTGTTAATGTTTTTGGCATAGTGCTGGACCCAGTCAAGGAAAACATTAGTTTCCCCACTGGAGAATGGTTTAAGGGTTAAGAGAAAAATGAACTGTCTGACTTTGATTTTAGCTGACACAGTGTAGTTGTGAGAGGATATATTTTAGCAAAATAAATGAATCTAACTTATCTTGAATCAGCCTCTTTTGGGGAGAGGGGGTGAAAATAGTATCTGCAAGTCATCCAAGGCTTGCAGAAATACTGATCCTAGGTCTCTGTTTCCTTGACTTTTTGATCTTGTAAAGTCGCAAAAGGAACTGGTTTAATTCTTGATAAGTATGTCCTAGCCCAACAGCTGTGAGTTAAAAAGAACTTGGTAGGGGCACTTTCGTTTAGGGAGGAGCTGGTCTAAAGGTAACTCTTCTTTTCAAACTTTTTTTTTGAAGCACTATTTGACTTTTATTCT